AAGAGTCAAGAGACTCAGCAAGGCATTGCTGGGTAAAGTGGAATGATAATAATAATAACAAACCTCACAAAAAGCAACGTGCTCATCCACTGGCATGAAGTTGGCAACGGCGTTTTGCAATCGCATGAGTCATGAAAACCACCGATTACTCCCGTGTGGCGGTGCCCATGAATCCGCCTCAATACCCAGGATGTTATTGTTTGACTCGGACTAAGTGGAATCTCATCTCCATCCATGACCCGCCAAAACTGGACATATGCGAAAAACGGATTCCTCCGGTCGATATAAATATTGTATTTGTTTTTTTGGGTCGGGACACATGGTAGTTGTTTCATGCCAAAAATTCTAGTCATGAACCCCCCACAACACTGACAAGATTGTCACGTTTACAATGCATCTACGTAGGACTTCTTTCGCGCCGTACGTAGTCAACTGTGCTAAACGGAGGTGTGGGGGAGTGACAAAAAACTATGGGTCTCGTGTGAGTTTATAGGTCTCTGGACGAGTAGTCTATGTACGTAGGTTGAACTTCTTTCCCACTGTTCGTAGCCAACCGTGCTAATCAGAAGTGTGGGGGAAACACACCAAAACAAAGCACAAGAAGCAGTTCTAAAGAAATGCGTTTTCAATATAGATGATTTAAAAGTGCATCGCTCCAGTGGCTTCTTAATATCGGAAGGAAGAGCATTCCAGATGGCCGCAGAAGTACATTTGAAAGTGCGCGATGGGGTGACCGTCTTTGTTCGATGGCCAGCCAAAACGGCCCACTGATATCATTTATAGGTGGAAACGATCCCGCTTAACGGAATGGCAACTCGACAAATTATGATTCACCGTTACATGACACTCGTCTGAGTTACTGATATGAGTGTATGAATAGGTAAGCTCAAAACCGGAGTATAATATATCCACGTTGAAGCTGCACACAACCTTCGTGCCTTCCGAGCAACGGCGGAAGAACGGAAAAGCAACACCACGTTTACGAATTAAACAAGGAGTCAGCTTTCGCGACCAATATTTTTCACATTTAAGGTTTTTGATTCAGATCACGTAAGCATAAATGTGTCGTAACCCTCCCAACCACCCGACAGCATTGTCGGGCAAATCGCCTGATGATGCTGGATGTAATTAGCAGCCAAACGTCATACTACTCAAATTGTAAAAGTTGTGGATTTACTCTCCAACACACCGGTGGGCTGAAGTAGTACACTAATTTGGCGCGTTTTGTTTACGTGACAAACCTCACCGGCTGTGTCGGAGGGTTACGACACATTTATACTTGCGCAATATAAACCAAAAAAACCTTTATTATTAACGTTTACGAATGCTTAATCCGTTTAACACGTAGGCTTTCGCGACCAATATCATCCATAATAGAGTTTGTTTAACATGTAGGCTTTCGCGACCAATATTATTCATAATAAAGGTTTTTGGGTTAGATCGCGTTTATTTATAAAATTTATAAATTATTATGAACATAAGAGTTTATTTTCAGTTAGATCGCGTAAATGTGTCGTTAAAACCCGCCACCACCAGACACAGCCAACTAGTAGGGGTTGTCACGTAAACGTTTACGCGATCTAACCCAAAAAAAAACTATATTATGGATGCTTAATCCGTTTACAAAGTACCTAATCAGGCTTACGAAAGTCCGATGCGTATATATCAAAGAAAGCGCCGCGTTGCCAACAACCTCCGCCCCCCCCCGCCCCGGGTGCTGCCATGGACCACCACCGCCCCCTTGTGGGCACATTGTGAAGCACAGCCTCACTACACGTGGGAGCACGTGTATCATGTGGGGAATCCTCGACTTACGCGCAATCGACTTACGAACTGCGTAAGTTCAACCGCCGCTCAATAGATCCCGGTGGTGGCATCTACATCTGCAGATCGTGAAGACCCAGTGGCATCTACATCTGCAGAACAATGAAGAACCCGTGGCATCTACATCTAGAAGAGATGATATAACTTTTAAAGCCATTCCCTGTGTTTAGTGTACACGCCATACAACATGATTGGAATTGACGGGGGTAAAGTTGGACTCGCGCACAAATCGACTTAAGAACAGACCTCTGGAACCTAACAAGTTTGTAAGTAGAGCAGTCCCTGTAATATTAATTTACTTATTCATCCGGGAAAGTCACTGGGTTTTTTTTATTATGATGATCCAAGACAATTAATGAGTGTTTCTAATACTGCCAGGAAACGTAGAGGACTGGAAGCCCAACCGGGATTAATTCACAGGAGGCAGGGGATTAATTGTGTATGTCTGTCCACGTCGGAGGGGTGGGGCTGGGTGGAGAGGAGAGGGGAGGGTAGGGAGGGGCTGGGTGGGGAGGGGAGGGGCTGGGCGGGGAGGGGAGGGGCTGGGTGGGGCTGGGTGGGGAGGGGCTGGTCACCCCGTGGTGCCCTTATATGGACTGGAAGCCCAACCGGGATTAATTCACAGGAGGCAGGGGATGATACACTGCACTTTCTGGTGTGACCTCTTTTACACTGCAACTTTCTGGCATCGTTTTATAATTCTGCTCACTTTTCATTTTGCTTTCTTCTGCGCACGACCCTAAGAAGTTTGACTTAAATATCCGTACATAATTACTTAAAAATTTCCTACCAGCCCCCTCCGCAGGAATGTGTTATAAGTGTTAAGGCTATGGGGGGGGGGGGATCTCTCATGTCATCATCATCATCACGATCCATGCATGGAGCATGCATGCACATTTCTCGTTTCCACTTTCCTCTCCGTCCTGCGCCAATATGCCCAAACAAGTGCGCAACATCTTTCAGGCACTGATCTCTTGCGATGTCGTCGTAAGAGATCAAAGCCATTCTCTGCGAGGTCTCGCTCGCTTTCCGGTTCCTTACATCTTTCCCGAACGACAGACTTTTAATTTTCCCATTGCTGTCAATCCAATAACATGTGTGTCCAAATAGTGACAGGTATCTTCTCATCACTGCCTGCATCATCATCATCATCGGGGGTCTTCTGCTACGTGCTGCCATTTTATTACTTCGACGTTGGTCGCTCTTTGGCTCCAGCTTAGATGCAGCATCCTTCTCCAGCGATACATTTAGAGTGCCAGTATCTTATTTTATATTCGATATTTATTCAATTTTATATACTTCAGCCCCTTGGTGTTAGTTAGACTTTTAATCCTTATTATTATAGTAAGACTTGTTTAAAACTTATTTAAGATTTTAGATTCCTTATGTTGAATGTATGCACCATCCTGCCAAAGTAAATTCCGTGTCGGTGTGAACTTTCATGGCGAATAAAACCCCTTTCTGATTCTGATTCTGATTATCTCCGTCAGTCTTTTTTAACGGCCAAGTCTCGCAGGCAAAGCTGTACTGAACACGCACCTTCTTAAGATGTTCCGTTTAGTCTTGCAGAAGCTATTGAATCCTGCCATTGCTCTTTTTGCCTTTGCGACCCTCGCTCTCATGTCCTTCGAGCAGTCATTAGTTTATAATATGAACAATAATTTACTTAGTCATCCAAGGAAAGTGACGGCGGGTCGCAGGACTGTCTCAGTAGGGTCACGCAGCATTGGGGTTTGGTTTTTGTATATGATGACGTTTCAAGACAATTAATGATGAGCGTTTATCTTACAAGTGGGAGAAAATGGACGGACCTGGAGAAAACCAAAGCGCGCAAGGGAAGAACGCTCGATCCCCATGCGGATGGAAACAAGACGGCGGTTTTGCCCTCCCTCCACATTTAGCAGCACGCGTTCAGATAATTTGGCTGCTTCTATAAATTGCCACGTGTGATGATGCACTATCACGTGTGGCCAGATTGCCTCTGATAACGAGCTAGGTAGCTAAGGTGTTTTCTTTGACATCGACAAGATCTGCAAGTCCCCGGCGATCCGCAGACCAAGGGAATGAACCATGGGTTAGAGGAGAGACGGATGAGAGGCGTTTCACTGCAATATGGAATTGCGAGTGTGTGCTTTCTCAGCAGCAACAGCAGCAGAACAGGAAGCAACAATGTGCTGATAAGTTTACGAAGCGCTCAGTGTGTTTTAGAATGTGGTCAAAAATCTCACGAGTTGTGAGAGGGTAATCTAAACAAAAACCGACAGCATGCTGCATTCATCCAGCAGTGGATCGATCATTGTACTTAAGCAAGAGCAAACAATCTCGCTACGATCATTGCCACGTCCACTTCTGGCAGGAGAGCGCTTAACTCGACGAAGCAAAGACGACGCAAACGTTTGCTTTCCTGGAGAGGCTTTACCACTCTAGCCCAAGGTAAAGGCTTCAGACCCTGCGCCACTTTACTAACAATCAGCGTGCATTCTGCCGACACTTGCCGAAGATGACGCGAAACCGAAGCCCGCAATTTTTCTCCTTGAGAGAGGATGCTGCCACAGTGGAGTAACGGGAGAGCATCACCGGCACTCGCGGTCGAGAGCAAGCCGGTTCCAACTTCATCGCCCGGACGCGGCAATCCAAGCAATTGGAGGGGGCATTGTCCACCGGGCAGCATAAATGAGTAACACCACGGTCGGTCGATCAGCAGATCGTGTGTGGTGAGGCAAAGTGTGGGTACGTCCACCTTTTTCTCGACGTCCGGGCCAGCGTGGAAGAGAAGTCTTATCTGTCTTGTTCCTGAGAGTAAACTAAACTGCAAATTATTGTTTTATTTTACCAGGTAAGGCCCAATGAGCTATATAGCTCCTTTGCAGAAGCGACCTGGCCACAAATTACAGTTCAACGTAGTGGCTTATCATCACGTGGAGCGGCCAAATATTCTGAACGCATGTTGATTTTAAAATGTGGAGGGAAAAACCGGAGGACCCGGAGAAAAATCCACGCGAGCACAAGGAGAGCGAGACACGCAAACTCCAAATATACAGCAGGCGTCAGGGTCTGGATCGAACCCACGACCACCTGCATATGAGGCGTAGTTGTTCAAATCTCGCAACCGTGGCGCCCCACATACATGCATGACCTTACCTTACCAGTGTGTACATGCTCGATCAATAACCTACCTGCTCCAATTGGTGTTTTCTGGTCCAGTTTTAGTGGCAGCTGCCTTTGTTCCACCCACCGATCTATGGCAAGTGGAACAAGACAAAGATACTCAATGAGGCCATTCAGAGATGATGCTCAACGCACGAGCGTTGAATACCTGCAAAGTGGGCAAAGCAACCACTGCCGGCGGTGGCTGTGTGTCGGGCGTCACATTTATACATAAAGGTTTTGGATTAGACTGCTTAAGTATAAATGTTGTGTTGTAACCCTCCACCACCCGACACAGCCAGTAAGGTTTGTCACGTAAACAAAACGCCGATTAGTTACTACTTCAGCCCACCGGTGTGTTGGAGAGTAAATCCACAGCAATTACAATTTGAGTAGCGTGACGTTTCGCTGGTAACTACATCCAGCACCATCGGGCGATTTGCCACGTTTATACTTTATACTTGTTTCGATGGCAATGGTGTGCTTTATACCACTGGCACTTCTTACGTCTAAGCCTTTCACTTTTTTTGTATTCCTTAATTGGCTAAAACTTTTCAAAGATACATTTTACATTTGAAATCATACGATTTTTGAAAATTCATTTTGTTTTCTTCATCCGACGTGTTACGTCTTTCACGGAAACGGCGCGTGGTTTTTAATCGGCGATGTCCCACACTCAAGAGCTTCTTAGCTCACCGGACACTTCAAAGTAAACTCGAACCGAAAACTGAAACCGTCACGGTCACAAAATTGGAAAGAGTCACACACAGCCCCCTGCAAGTGCACTCAATCGTGGTTACACAGAGCGGCGATCATTGGGCCCCAACCCTCCTGCTGTGAAAACTTGGTGGGAACGCTCCTGAAAAAAAGAGTCGCGCAAAATTTGTTTTTGGTCAATCGATTCTAAATTATATTTATTAACCGTTAACCATATTCTTGGTTCTTTCGGTAAAGTCACGTAGAAGGGAAACAATAAAATAATAAAAATATAAAACAATAAAATTCTCTTCTACGTGACTTTACCGAAAGAACCAAGAATATGAATCCCTGCAGTCACGAAAACTTTAAATCAAAATTTAATTTTTGATTTAAAGCTTTCGTGACTGCAGTAATTCATAATCTTAGCTCTTTCGGTAAAGTCACGTTGAAGGGAAACAATACAATAATAAAATATATATAAAACAATAAAAAAAATTCTCACGACGTTTCGACCATAACACAAACGGTGATTTTTACCGAAAGAGCTAAGAATACAAAATGTAACTGTTAACATTTTTTTTTTATTTGACCAGGTAAGGGCCTACACTGAGATATATATAGCTCTTCTTCATAAGCGACCTGGCCACAAAAGATAGCTCGAATAAAGTGGCGATTCAATGTTGTATTTGACAGCAGCCAAACACCCTAACAGCACATTGATTCTAAATGTGAAGGGAAATACTGGAGTACCCAGGAAAAAATTCCACGCGACCTCAGGGAGAACATGCAAATGACAAAAATACAGGGGTCGGGATCGAACCCACGTATTCCTACATACCAGGCGAGGTAGTTAAGATCTCGCCACCGTGAGATTTTAACTTATAAAGTGCTCAAGGCGTTTGACATAGCTTACACAATGATGGCAGAATGGAATTATGTAGTTGACAGGAACTATGATTGAGGAATGAGAGATAGCGGGGTAACTTAGGGATTATGAAAGGGTAGGGGAGGGATGGGAAGGAGCAGAGGGATGAGGGGAGGGAAGAAGAAGAGAATGGGTGAAAGAAAAGAGGGTGAGGCTTTAACGGAGGAACAGAAGGAGATTAAGGAGGCAGACTGCTTTATATACAGGGGCAGTGTGAGTCTATGGGCAGTGTTGAGTCGATGGGCAGTGTTGAGTCTATGGTGCAGTGTTGAGTCTATAGTGCAGTGTTGAGTCGATGAGCAGTGAAGAGTCGATGGGCAGTGAAGAGTCTATGGGCAGTGTTGAATCTATGGGCAGTGGAGTCTATGGGCAGTGTTGAGTCTATAGTGCAGTGTTGAGTCTATGGGCAGTGTTGAGTCTATGGGCAGTGTTGAGTCTATGGTGCAGTGTTGAGTCTATGGTGCAGTGTTGAGTCTATGGGCAGTGTTGAGTCTATGGTGCAGTGTTGAGTCTATGGGCAGTGTTGAGTCTATGGGCAGTGTTGAGTCTATAGTGCAGTGTTGAGTCTATGGGCAGTGTTGAGTCTATGGGCAGTGTTGAGTCTATGGGCAGTGTTGAGTCTTTGGACAGTGTTGAGTCTATGGGTAGTGTTGAGTCTATGGGGAGAGCCAGAGTCTATAGGCAGTGTTGAGTCGATGGGCAGTGCTGAGCCTATGGGCAGTGTTGAGTCTATGGGCAGTGTTGAGTCTATGGGCAGTGTTGAGTCTATGGGCAGTGCTGAGTCTATGGGCAGTGTTGAGTCTATGGGCAGTGTTGAGTCGATGGGCAGTGTTGAGTCTATGAGCAGTGTTCAGTCTATGGTGCAGTGTTGAGTCTATGGGCAGTGTTGAGTCTATGGGTAGTGGTGCGTCTATAGTGCAGTGTTGAGTCTATGAGCAGTGATGAGTCTATGGGCAGTGTTGAGTCTATGGGTAGTGTTGAGTCTATGGGCAGTGTTGAGTCTATGGGCAGTGTTGAGTCTATGGTGCAGTGTTGAGTCTATGGTGCAGTGTTGAGTCTATGGGCAGTGTTGAGTCTATGGGCAGTGTTGAGTCTATGGGCAGTGTTGAGTCTATGGGCAGTGAAGAGTTTATGGGCAGTGTTGAGTCTATGGGCAGTGTTGAGTCTATGGGCAGTGTTGAGTCTATGGGCAGTGTTGAGTCTATGGTGCAGTGTTGAGTGTATGGTGCAGTGTTGAGTGTATGGTGCAGTGTTGAGTCTATGGGCAGTGTTGAGTCTATGGGCAGTGTTGAGTCTATGTTGCAGTGTTGAGTCTATGGTGCAGTGTTGAGTCTATGGGCAGTGTTGAGTCTATGGTGCAGTGTTGAGTCTATGGGCAGTGTTGAGTCTATGGGCAGTGTTGAGTCTATGGGCAGTGTTGAGTCTATGGTGCAGTGTTGAGTCTATGGTGCAGTGTTGAGTCTATGGGCAGTGTTGAGTCTATAGTGCAGTGTTGAGTCTATGGGCAGTGTTGAGTCTATGGGCAGTGTTGAGTCTATGGGCAGTGTTGAGTCTATGGGCAGTGTTGAGTCTATGGTGCAGTGTTGAGTCTATGGTGCAGTGTTGAGTCTATGGGCAGTGTTGAGTCTATGGGCAGTGTTGAGTCTATGGGCAGTGTTGAGTCTATGGGTAGTGTTGAGTCTATGGGGAGAGCCCGAGTCTATGGGCAGTGTTGAGTCGATGGGCAGTGTTGAGTCTATGGGCAGTGTTGAGTCGATAGTGCAGTGCTGAGTCTATGGGCAGTGTTGAGTCTATGGTGCAGTGTTGAGTCGATGGGCAGTGTTGAGTCTATGGGCAGTGTTGAGTCTATGGGCAGTGTTGAGTCTATGGGCAGTGTTGAGTCTATGGGCAGTGTTGAGTCGATGGGCAGTGTTGAGTCTATGGGCAGTGTTGAGTCTATGGGCAGTGTTGAGTCTATGGGCAGTGTTGAGTCTATGGGCAGTGTTGAGTCGATGGGCAGTGTTGAGTCTATGGGCAGTGTTGAGTCTATGGGCAGTGTTGAGTCGACGGTGCAGTGTTGAGTATGGGCAGTGTTGAGTCTATGGTCAGTGTTGAGTCGATGGGCAGTGTCGAGTCTATGGGCAGTGTCGAGTCTATGGGCAGTGTTGAGTCGATGGGCAGTGTTGAGTCGATGGGCAGTGTTGAGTCGATGGGCAGTGTTGAGTCAATGGGCAGTGTTGAGTCGATGGGCAGTGTTGAGTCGATGGTCAGTGTTAGTCTATGGGCAGTGTTGAGTCTGTGGTGCAGTGTTGAGTCGATGGGCAGTGTTGAGTCAATGGGCAGTGTTGAGTCTATGGGCAGTGTTGAGTCTATAGTGCAGTGTTGAGTCTATGGGCAGTGTTGAGTCTATGGGCAGTGTTGAGTCTATGGGCAGGGGAAGTGGATTCCAAGAACCATAAACGGGGCGCAAGGAGACGGAGGGACAGAGAGAGAGAGAAGATCGGGAATGAAGAGGACGATGGAAGAAGACAGGAAAAGAGATGATAGGCGAGATAAGGTGAGGCAAGGCCATGAAGATATTTGAAGACTAGTGTCAGGTATGTTAAAAAAACCAATGTAATATTAAACATTAACAGGGGTCGGCAACCTGCGGCTCCGAAACCGCATGCAGTGGCTCTTTAAGGACTGCTGCTTTGTGATGAATGAAAACAATGGCTATTCGTGTTATTTTGGTTTGCCGACCGCTACATTAAATCCTCTCCCGATGTCAGACGTCTGCAAGTTGCAAGGTGGGTGGGTCCCGTTCTTCGCCGAATCTTGCAACGTGCAAAGCAGTTCACTGTTAATTTTATTTAGAGGCGTAGCTGTTTTTAAAGACCTTGTACTCACCGCAGAGAACCGTGGCGACGCTACCGCAATCTGCGACAGCTGACACCAAACTCTGCCGCACGCCGTCCCGCACGGCCTTGTGGGAGCCTCGGTACCGATAAAGTTACGTTATTTTTTCTTCCGGTTCGTACACGTACGTCATCAGAAGTAAAACTGTACGTCATCGGAACGGGAAAAGGGTGCTTTGCCGAAATGGTCAAACGTCTCAAGCACTTGCCGGCAGCGCGCCTCTCCACCGTTGTCACGCGTGCTGCCTAGCAGAAGCAACGTGCGCGGCAAGGGCATCTCGGTCCAGGCAAGAGCCCTTTCTGCCCTGGGGCTGTCAGGAACTTTAGGCGTTTGTTCGGCAAATTCACAGCGGGGTAGCACAAGTAAAAACACACCATAACTCTCTATCCTTTAATTTCACTACACCTCTGTCATCGGGCCCCTTGTGTTACAAACGATGTCTCGCCAGAGTCTTGACCTCTCATCGCACTCCCATCTCCATCTCGTGACTTTAACGCATCTCTGCCAATATTCCTCAAGTACCGTATACTCGTTCTCTGCAAACGTTGACGACTTTTTGTCTTTGCTGGCTTCGCTGTCGCCGCTCTGCTCACGCGGAGCCACGGGTCTGCTGTTTAACGTAGCCGGGCAACTGGCTAAACGGGAACTACCAAATAAAACTCAAACTTTGGCTTGCACGCAGCAACTTGGCACCCACGTGCACTCACGTGTGCCCACGTGCGACCACTTGCGTCCACCTGTGCCCACACCTGTGCCCACCTGTGCCCACGTGTGTCCACCTGCGCCCACCTACACAAGCGCGGGCATGGTGCGGGTGGAGCGTGCACGTGGCTTACTCGTTATTGAGTTCCAGCGCCTGATGAGCGGCTTTAATCCGGGCCTGGGGGTTCCTCTCGCGCCACGCCTTCTGCATGGCTGCAGCACACGGGGGGAAGAGGAGGACGGAGTGGGGGGGGGCACGGTGTTTCTGCATTAGCAAGGCCCGGCATAATCGGGACAATCCTATAGCTTAATCGCCGCGTGCAAATAGCTTGTCTATGTACAATGATGCGCACTCCAGAATGCAACAAGAAGCTCATGACGCAAACGCATACACGATAAGTCTTAGCCCACAATGCATAATGCCAGCCCCCTAAATTAAGAAAATAAACACATTTTGGTGGCGTGTGCACCCCGAATTTATGCCACAGCAGCCGGAGTGCCGCACCTCTGATTAGCACGGTTTAGCTATGCATGGTGTGCGAAAGACGTTCAATATACATACATAATCATCTCAACGCCCAAACCAACCCAGTTGAGGATATCCACCCGCCACCCAATGCCAATCGCAAAGAGCGGGTCAAGTCTACCCCCATGTGACTCCAACTCAAGCTTGTTCCAGAGTTATCAAAATTGCTTTCTGGATCAGGCCACGTAATGACGTAGCCACATATTTTATTATCGTGCGGAAATTCAAAGCAACCAAATGCTCTAAATGCGTGACGTTGATTCTAAATGTGGAGGGGAAAAAACGGGGGGGGGGGGGGGTGAAATAGGAGAAAAATCGACGCCTCCACAGGAAGAACATGCAAACTCCAAATATACAGGCATTAAGGTCGGGATCGAACCCACAACCTCCTGTGCTGTATGCTGACAATATTGAACTACGCCAAAGCAGCCCACCGAGCCCCCATCTCCAAAGCAAAGCCACGTTTGGACACACAATCCTAGGTCAGTGTAAAAAAAAAAAATCTCACAGCAGAATGTAGCGTGACACACTTCAACGCACTGTAATAACAAAAAAAACAGAAAAACATTACAATGTATGCTCAAGTTTATTTTCCTTTCATCGCATGGGGAAAGCGACCTTTAAAGTCAGCAGCCCATGATGCCATAACGATGCACTCAAAATCGTTCCAACACGTGGGTCGAGTGCCCCTCTCAAGTACCACGAATATGTTCGTAAAGAGTTGTTATTGTTATTGGGCTGCCATCGACGTGTAATAACATTCTGATTCTTTAGGCAGCACCCATTCGACCACAGAGAAACAAAATCACTACCAGGACAAACAGCGGCAGCCACTAAGCGGCGGTGACATCACCATAGAGCTTGTGCCAGCCTAGGTGCACACTGAGGCCATGTGAAAGTGTTGGAAGGCCTCGCTGGCAGGAGGACACGGGAGAGACGCAAGTGCTATGGCTCGCCTGACCGAGATGGACTGGCAGATGCACCACCTGTACTCCCCCGCTGTGCCAAGTCGCTGCATTTTAGCCGCCCGGCGCTCCGCGCTTGCTGTTGTTAGCGTCGCTGCCGGTACCACGCACTCCATATGCGCCACAGCGGCCACACACAGCTGCCTTTCCAAAGAAGATAATCACCTCGGGCATCCGCGTGCGTCCGCAGCGAGAGAAATAGTCCTCGCCAAACGTGTTCGAACGGTGGCCATGCAGCCGACTCAACAGCTTAGCCTCAAGTCAATAACAGAAGTGATTACAGCTTCGGCGAGTCACAGAGACCACCCCCCGACATGGAGTTGTGCATTTACAAAACTCGGGCAACGGCAAAACCAGAGCCTCATAAAAGGAACGAGCCAAAAAAAAGACGGATATCGCACGGACAAGGCAAGACAGATCAAAGAGGAGGCCATCTGCAAAGAGACCGCCCCTTGCAAGACAAATGAGTGCGGACCGGGGAACTGCTGACGACATCGTTGTGAAATAAAAACTCCGGGGAGGAGCTCCATCGCCCAAACCAAAAAAAACCTGCTCTGGATGTTCAATCATTTCGGATGGGCTGGGGGAATGGGTAGGATCCACTTACCGACACACTACGACTACAACAACAAATGAAAAACCTCCCAAGCAGCCCTTATATACGCGCACACACACACACGTGCCAAGTTGGGAGCCAGCGTAAATCGCGATTAAGACGTCTCAGAGCCTCCTGGATCCAAACGCAAGAAGCACCTCACCCGCCCTTGCAAGTCCCAAGCTTTCAAGTGTCAGGTTATTATCTGGAGATGAGAAGCAGACCGCCTTTCGCGTCGGTAGACTTTCAATGAATCGGTGATTACTCAAAGCTGGTCCTCAAAACCAGGGGTAAAAAATAAAAAGTTTGACATCCAATAGCTCCTGGGCCCTGTCGGGAACGTCTACAATGACCAATTCACATCCCTCGGTCTTTCTGCTGCGCTTTGAGAATCAGGGAAAGGCAGAAGGCAGGCAAGAGGATTGTCAAATTCATCAGAAGCAGCCCATGGCCTCAACTGATAACAGGCCCTTTGACGTTTCCCCTTAAGGGCACGAATTGCTTCTCCAGAATCCCCTCATTCCCAGAACAATATTTCCGATCTCACGATCACTTTCAGAAGAAGGCAAGATGATGACCAGAAAAAAACTGGTAAGTCTTTCTTTTTTTCTTCACACACCGTCTATTATTTCGCCAGGGCACCCTCTTCCAAAATAATAGTGTAGACCCCCACCAACGGTATTTGAGCTGGGTCAGCAGTCCGAAGATTGCGCGAGAAGAAGCGTCTCTCACCACGCGAGCCTTGCAGCCACAAGTGCGGAAATCTGACACGAACGTAGTTTTTTTAGCGTGCCAATACAAGTGACATTCATAGAAGATGACGTTCTATCACGGCATCTGCATGAATCTTGGTGGAACGGGTGGAATGGTTGCAAATGCTGTGCCTGTGGGGAGCGGTGGCGTAAGCGGTTCGCGCGCTGAGCTGCGAACCCGGCAGCCCAAGTTCGATTCTCGCTCAAGGCCAACACCATTGACAATTATTTGAACCGGTCCTGGGCTTTCCCCTAAGTCGACTGAGCTCAAATGAAAACCTGGTGCGTTGCGTAAACATCGCCACTGGGGAGACAAAGGCGGCCAGGCGTGGTTTTGGCCATCCACCCCTTCGTGTGCCGTGCGAGCTTTCATAGGTGCTTGCGAACAGCATTTGACCCACCTGTCTGTTTCGGCTATACGGGGGGATATTTGTCTTTCATGGCACAGAAATTAATAGGGTCATGGCAATGGGGCCCAAGAAATGAAAACGCTTTGCGGCGTTCCATTGCCATTCATGCCACCACAAACACATGTTTGTTTTAAACGTCTCTCTTTTCTTATTCGAACATCCTTCATATACATCAATACATTTCATACATTATACCAGGCTTTCCACTGGCCAACATGAACCTTGCCCGTTATCCTTATGTAAGGGAGGTCAAAAATGTTATCAACTTAAATGTAAAACATTTCGTTATAAAGTGTGAATGCAGCATGCGGTCTCATTTTTTGTTCATTGCCTATGCCTGTTTAGTTGTTCCATTACTGAAATAACTGCATTTGTGGTCTGCCCAAATTAAACTGGCAGATGCCCTAAAATAAAGCAAAATTAACTTCCTCGTTTCCTTACGGATTTGCAAACATCACATTAAGCGTGCAACTAACCCTTATTGCTAACCACAGTAACACTGCAAACGGTGCTAACATTTTGAGATCCGAATCTCGGAAGGTTCGAAAAATTTCTCTATATTCACAAATGTACACCGGTAACCTCCACTAAAGTGTGAATGGAGTATGTGGTCTCGTTTTTTAGAATTGTCTATGCCCCTACAGTTGTTCATTATTGAAATAACCGCATTTGTGTTCTGCCCCAATTAAACTGGCAGATGCCCTAGTAGATGCTTCAAAACAATTGGCATGTGCACTGAATGCAAACGCAACTTCCTCGTTTCCTTACGGATTTGCAAACATCACATTAAGTGTGCAACTAACCCCTTGTTGCAAACCACAGTTACTGTACATACTAAACGGCGCTAACATTTTGAGATCTGAATCTCGGAAGGCTCGACACATTCCTCTCTATTCGCAAATATACACCGGTAAAGCCACTGAAGAGTCCAATCCTCTAATTCGGATTTGTCGTTTTTTTTACCACGCACTTCTGCATCTTAATCACTGCCGTGCGCGCGCAAAAAGTGTGGACCGAGTAACGCAGTGCTTTGGCACGCCATCGGCCCAAAGGCATTAAGTGAAGTTGATTAAAAGCATCGGCCGAGCGGGTCACGGCTCGAATAGCAGTGCGACATTTACGTTTATTAACAAGGGACGTGGCTCAATAACGACGAGTGAACAGAACGTCTACGCCGGCCGCGCTGTGTTTATATGCAACTAGAGAGTAACAACGGTGGTTGACTGGCGATCGCCAATCCGGGCCAGACGCAGTCAAGCGAGGCCGTGTCCAGTCTGACCTTGCCAATCGCCCTTGGGGACAGGGGAAGAGGTAGAACTGCCAACTGAAGACTTCGCGTCCGAGGAACAATGATTGTGTCCATTGCCAGAGCCTGAGGGTCATACATATGGGTTCAAAGTTCAAGACGGGCGTGTAAAAAAGGGGGAGGGGAGCGCAGCTGTCCACAACCAGAGTGTAACATTCAACATTTTAAATAGACGTCAAAGTATAATAAGTCTGAGCATTTCTCATCGCGCGCTCTTACGAGTCCAGTCAATCACGAATGCGCGCTAGTCACGCGTTGTAAGCTCTTTGAAACAACAACGGTTTGATTCTCCTGCAGAGGTTTGAGGTTCGCATCCAACGGGTTGGCCCCGATTAATGCTGCGGCGTGTATTAACCGTGACAATGCAAAGCGGTGGGCGTTAAAGATCCCCCCACCCCCCCCCCCCCCCCCCGACGTGATTCTGAAGGATCGGTACTTAACAGACGGAGGATTTTTGCAAACCGCTGATTGTGTTTGTTTGTGACCACGTGCAGGGTGAAGAGTGGCCCCGGCTGGTAAGACTAAAACAGTGGTTTGATCTAGTGCAGTGCTGCAGCTTGAAATCATGTTTATTGCATTTATTTTGTTGTTGTCACTGCAACCAAATGAATCGGTAGAGAACTACTCATATCAATTCAAGTCGGTAATTGCCGGTGTATTCAAGGTATCGCAAGTCACAAAAGCTCTCTCTGAAGACAGTCAACATGTTCTGCATTCCACGCCTCTTACTGGACTTCTGCCCTAAATAGCTACTTGCATATCATGCTGTTACATAAACAGACCTCTCGGCTCCAACCTCACCATATTTAATGGAGTTCAAAGTTAAGCAATCAGGTTGAGCGACGGATCCAGCGATCACCAATTCACCCGAGTCACTCAGTCACTGGATGCGCAGTCGCCTCCTTGTCACTCTTCTATCGATGCCACAACCACGGTCACCGTTGTTCCAAATGCACTTCACTCACTGGCTCCTCCTCGCTATGCAGAGTACTCGGCCCTACCAGACGGACAATCGTCTCATCTGCACCGTGTTCCACAACCACAGGCGTACGCTGTGTGGGCCATCGACGCTGCTCCTTCTGCCTCCTCTCCTTGCCGCAGCTCGAGAGTGGGAACTCCCTCCCATCGTCTCTTCCCGAGCTCTCTCCCAGTTGCCGTGCCTCAACTCAAGACACGTGGTCAACTTTGTATCCATGGCAACTTTCGTCGCGCTTGCATTTGTCGCCGGCCGCTTGACATTTTGGGCCTAGTTTGGGCCTTTCGGGCCTGTGCCCGGCAACTTAATGCCGTGTGATGGTATAACTGAACCACAAAAAACTAAACTATTTATTTTGTATTTTACCAGGTAAAGGCATCTAAGCTATATAGTTCCTTTTGAGAAGCGACCTGGCCAGAAATGATAGCTCAATGAAGTGGCTTATAACGTGGAAATGTACAGCAGCCTAGTCCTCCACGTGACCACGAGGAGAGACACAGGAAAACTACAGCATATACAGCAGGGGTTGGGATCGTGCTCGTACCCACGATCTCCTGTATACCAGGCGAGGGAGCTAACATCTCCCAGCCACCGTGGCGTTGTGGTCCTAGACGATTTATTTACACTATGAAGTGAATGGGAGGGGGTGGGGTGGTATCTGTTACAAACACTAACAAGAGAGCCACACCTCTTTTGTTTGCAAGCATAGGACTGCACGTGGAGAAGCGGTGGATTGGGGTGAGTGAGTGGGGGGGGGCGGTGGATTGGGGTGAGTGAGTGGGGGGGGGGCGGTGGATTGGGGTGAGTGAGTGGGGGGGGGTGGATTGGGGTGAGAGAGTGGGGGGGGGATTGGGGTGAGTGAGTGGCCGGGCGTGGTGGATTGGGGTGAGTGGGGGGGGGGTGGTGGAATGGGGTGAGTGGGGGGGGTAGTGGAATGGGTTGAGTGGGGGGGACGGTGGATTGTGGGTGAGTGGGGGGGGTGGATTGGGGTGAGGGGGGGGGGGCGGTGGATTTGGTGTGAGTGGTGGGGGGGGTGGATTGGGGTGAGTGGGGGGGGTGGATTTGGGTGAGTGGGGGGGGTGGTGTATTGGGGTGAGTAGAGGGGGGTGGTGATTGGGGTGAGTAGAGGGGGGAGTAGTGATATGGGGTGAGTATAGGGGGGTGGTGGTATGGGGTGAGTAGAGGGGGGTGGTGTATTGGGGTGAGTAGAGGGGGGTGGTGGTATGGGGTGAGTAGAGGGGGGTGGTGTATTGGGGTGAGTAGAGGGGGGTGGTGGTATGGGGTGAGTAGAGTGGGGGTGGTGGATTGGGGTGAGTATAGGGGGTGGTGGATTGGGGTGAGTAGAGGGGGGTGGTGGATTGGGTGTGAGTAGAGGGGGGTGGTGGATTGGGGTGAGTAGGAGGGGGGAGTAGTGATATGGGGTGAGTAGAGGGGGGTGGTGGATTGGGGTGAGTAGAGGGGGGTGGTGGTATGGGGTGAGTAGAGGGGGAGTGCGCGTCTCTCTGCTCGTGAAAACTGAGCGTTTTTCTCGTCCGCGGAGAGTAACGCTGCGTCGCGGTGTCAACCGTCACGGGAGAACGCACAGCAGCATCTGGCGTTCGCTAAAGCCTCTGTAAAGTAGCAGCCACAACCAGGCAGCATCGGTGTATCCGAGACATCCACTGCTGCTGTAAGATACCTAGATTGAGTTCTAAGTACGAGGGTTGACGCGATATCGAAGGGATGCGATATTAATTTTCATGACAGGATGATTATCGCAACGTCGGTCTCCCGTATGGGTGTTGTTGTTTATTGCGGGCTTATTGCACGGTTTCTGTACCATTCTCTGCCTCCCCGTGCAAATAAAGACCGCTTAAAATCTCTTCAACTACAGCTCACTCAACATTAAGCCCCTGCCGTCTATCCATTCATTACGACCTGCGATCGTCACTTCCTTGTTATTTATCTATTCATCTTAAAAAAAAAAAATGACTTCAAGTGAGTGTCGGGTTTGTTTTTGTACCATCTGTGTACGGGACTGGCTAATCGATGTTGCAGCATTGTGGGATTGCAATTGCATGAATGACGCTATGTAAAATGTTATTATTATTGTTACAATCTACAACACTGGGCGAAGACCCCGGGGCCGGTACAGGACACGCTGGCGGAACTATGTTGCTCTGCTGGCCTGGGAATGCTTGGGAATTCCCAGGAAGAGCTAAAGTCTATGTACAGTAGTTTATAGTGTAGTAGTGTATAGTAGTGCAGTGTATATTAGCTTTTTTTTACAAATCATCAAATGAATAGGTGAAAGTGCCATTTTTGGACAACTTTAATTAGACGTGTCAGCGAGTAGAAAATGTCATACAAAGTAAATGAACCACTAAAGTCTTGATATCGCAAATTTAGCAAGACAGACGATATGATTTTTCACACATCGTACATTGCCGCAATGTGTCACCGTACCAACATATCATGGGCAACCCTACAAATTAGATGACTCACTCCTGCCCAAGCGTGATGCCTCATCGAGACTAGCTGTGCTGTAATTAGCAGACAGCCTTCACAATTACAGTAGAAACCCTGTTAACGACTAATCACTTAACGACGGGCCTCCACAGAGACCAATGTGAGAACTATAGTAGTGTAGTGTATAGTAGTGTAGAGTAGAAACCCTTCTGAACGACCACCCCTGTTAACGACTAATCACTTAACGACGGGCCTCCATAGAGCCCAATGTGTAGAATATAGTAGTGTAGTGTATAGTAGTGTAGAGTAGAACCCTTCTTAACGATCACCCCTGTTAACGGCTAATCACTTAACAACGAGTTTCCATACAGCCCAATGTGTAGTGTATAGTAGTGTGTAGTGTATAGTAGACGGGCCTCCATACAGCCAATGTGTTCCCCCTGTTAAGACGTGATATTGCAGGTACAATAAATATTAATTGATGCATTGATGAACCGTCTTTCTTTTAATCGTATGTGTTACCGAAAGAATCAAAGAGCCTGGATTCCTGCAGTCACAAGAGCTTCAAATCAGTATGTGTTTAGAATGTTGTTAGTGTCTTTATGTAAGAATATGCATTGTTTAAATATAATGAAGTACGTTTGTTTCGGTGAAAAAGGGGGGCGACTGTCGCTGCTATCGGAACGAATTAAACCTTCAGCGTGCATTTCCTACACTCGCTTAACGCGATCAAATCGCTCAACGGCCGGTTTCGTGGGAACCAATTACCGTCGTCAAGAGGAGGAGGGGGCTTCTACTCTACACTATTGGACATGAGGTATGCTGCTGTGACACATGTTGGACGAATATCCATGTCGATACGCGAAACACCAAGCAACGGTTTGCCTTGTTAAAAGGGTGCAATAATGAAGCATAGCGTGGGATATCCATGTGCTCACCGAATTTCCATACGATAGTCAAGTAGGCAGTCTTAGAATTGCTACTGCCACAGACACCTATCAATTGTTTGGTGTTTATTACGATGCATGCGACACTCTTTCAGACTTCCGAGTGCTGACAGGCGCGTCTCAGATTTTGTACACATGATTAGCGTATACATTCCATACTCCGCGGATTGACAACAGAATGCAACACCCCTACCTTGGGCAGTTTAATTATCGTGTATAATGTGTGCTCCGGTCAAATTACATTCCTTTTTTCGGAATATGTATTTAATTGCTTATTAATTTGGAGGGTAAGAAATGCTGGCTTACCCCCAATTCTTGCTTCAAAAGATGTAACTGTAGATCAAAGCAAAATTTTAAATCAAAGAAAATCCCTGAACCATAACGTCACGTCGGTTTGTAAGCCTTTGAATTTTCATCAAAATCTTCGAAAAACCATAATTACCCAACATAATTTATACTTACAATGTTATGAACTTTAAAATCAATACATAATTGTCAAAGATGTCCATCCGATGATTTAAGGCCACCATGCGTGCGAGACTCTGGGGCGGAAGGCGACGCCCATTAGATACGTGGCCAAGAGCTGTTTCACGTTTCCCTACCACGACCCATTCACGGCGCAGAAGGCAAACCAGCGGTCACGCTCGCGCGCCCACAACACTTGAAAAAGAGCCCCACATCGCAGACCAAAAGGGATTGTATCAAGAATGCTCACCCACAGTACTTACTACAATCGGCTGACCGAAGGTTGTCAGTCTCACGGGTAAAGAAACGTCTGGTGGTCCTGTGCTGACAAGTTCATGTCATAGTAGGTCAGCGGCTCCCGCCCCGTCACCCACGTATACCTGGGAACGAGAGGGGGGGGCGGCAGTGAGAGGGGGGGCGCGAAGTGAGAGGGGGGGCGGCAGTGAGAGGGGGGGCGGCAGTGAGAAGGGGAGGGGCGGCAGTGAGAGGGGGGGCGGCAGTGAGAGGGGGGGGGGGCGACAGTGAGAGGGGGGGGCGGCAGTGAGAGGGGGGGGGGCAAGTGAGAGGGGGGCGGCAGTGAGAGGGGGGGGCGGCAGTGAGAGGGGGGGGCGGCAGTGAGAGGGGGGGGCGGGCAGTGATAGGGGGGGGGGCGGCAGTGAGAGGGGGGGGGCAGTGAGAAGGGGGGGGCGGCAGTGAAGAGGGGGGGGGCGGCAGTGAGAGGGAGGGGGGCGGCAGTGAGAGGGAGGGGGCAGTGAGAGGGGGGGGGCAGTGAGAAGGGGGGGCGGCAGTGAAGGGGGGGGTCGGCAGTGAGAGGGGGGGGGCGGCAGTGAGAGGGGGGGGGCGGCAGCGAGAGGGAGGGGGCGGCAGTGAGAGGGAGGGGGCGGCAGTGAGAGGGGGGGCGGCAGTGAAGGGGGGGGGCGGGCAGCGGAGGGAGGGGGGCCGGCAGTGAGAGGGGGGGGCGTGGCGGGGGGCGGCAGTGAGAGGGGGGGCGGGCAGTGAGAGGGGGGCGGCAGTAGTGAGAGGGGGGCGGCAGTGAGAGGGGGGGTGGCAGTGAGAGGGGGGGGCGGCAGCGAGAGGGAGGGGGCGGCAGTGAGAGGGGGGGGGCGGCAGTGAGAGGGGGGGCGGCAGTGAGAGGGGGGGCGGTCAGTGAGAGGGGGGGCGGCAGTGAAAGGGGGGGGCGGCAGTGAGAGGGGGGGCTGGGCAGTGAGAGGGCCGGGGGCGGCAGTGAGAGGGGGGGGGCGGCAGTGGAGGGGGGGGTGGCAGTGAGAGGGGGGGGGGCGGCAGTGAGGGGGGGTGCGGCAGTGAGAGGGGGGGGGGCGGCAGTGAGAGGGGGGTCAGGAGTTTTAGCGAAAGCTTGGCTCTCGTATCAAAGAGCGAGCTGCCGATGCGGGTCCTTAAAAAAAAAAGAAATCACATTACAGCAATAGTTTTAAAATAACACCAAAGAGAGCAAAAAAATAATTACACTCGCAAATTCACGGCCGCAAAGCAAGAGGCGGGGAAACGTGGCCTCAGTCGGCATCGGGCGTCAACTTAAGTAGCATCGCCATGGCGCGGCAAATGCATCCACCTCCGCTCTGCGCAAGCGGGCCAGCTCCATCGGCGTTGAAAGGGTGGCGACAGTGCTGTTCGTGGCCCCGAAACGAAGGTGCAAATTACACATTTTATTACGCCTGGGGAATCAGTAAAACGCTACAGGACAACCACCGCTGCCGATATGCTTACCTGTTATATTCTGCACCTCTAAATAAATTCAGAGGATTTCTCCAGACCTTGCATTCTGAAATAAAAACATGAAACAATTACGCGAGAGTTCTCATTCATTTTTTTGACAATTGGTCGCGGAGAGACCTTTGAGGTATGGATGGTGAAAGGTATACCTGGAGACACATCGTGCTCCCATCCTAATACGCCAATCACTGCCAAATAAATGTAACAATAATACCAGGTGTTCAAACGGTCAGCTGGAATACAAAGGACTTTGTTTCGTTATGGAACATGCCAGATATAAATGGGCGAGAGATAATAATAGTGCTGCCGTATGGAACGCTCTTCCTTCTGATGTTAGGAAGCCGCTAGAGATATGCACATTTTAATCTAGATTGAAAACTCATTTCCTTAGAACTGCTTTTTGTGTTTAGTTTGTTGTCCTTCCCCCGCACCATCGAATAGCACGGTGCGAAATAAATTCAACATACACACACGTAATGACAAGTAGATTTTTTGTTAAAGAAAACTACTAAGACCACCGTGCGAACAAAGCCACAAGAAAATAAACCAAACACTTTGGTTCTTTCGGTAATGTCACGTAGGTAGAAAAATAAGAATACATCGCGACGTTTCGATCGCAACACAAGCAATCGCCATCAGGTGGGACAACCACAGCAAGAAAAAAACTGCTCGTGTACTTTTTCTTGCTGTGTTTGCCCCACCTGATGACGTATAGATTCCTGCAGTCACGAAAGCTTCAAATCAGGATTAAAATAAGCCGAGTAAAGTGGTCTCCTTGCTTGAGCGCCCGTTAATAAAGAGAAGTAGATATCTTTGGTTACAGCCATTAGCAAATGGTGAAAATTATTCATTCTTGTGATAAAAGTCAGCAGTATGGAAATCGGCTTCTGTCGAGGAGGCTCGTGAAGGAAGCTACTGGGCAGTTAGTGCCAGCCGCCCTCCGGCAACAAAAGGAGGGCGGAAGAGCGACGCTCACATCCCTGCCTTCAAGTTTATCCAATTGTTCTCATTGTATGGAGAGAACAGTTACAGGATATTACCATATTTTCAAAGTTACAATGTTAATGACGGACAAGTGAGATATGCGAGAGAAAAACATGATTTGAACAGAACGTATCGAACCCTAACTAGGCAAAACCAGCCAGGCCTCTGGTGCGAGTTAGACATTTTATTTGCAAAGAAACCAGGAGAAAAAACATTGCGTGAAATTATTTCACTCCAATTGAGTGTAATTGTTTATTAAATTATTTACATATTTTGCCGATCACTGCTGTATGAAGGCCTCCCCCCCAAACACCACGTTGCAGGTCAGCGTGGGCTGGCAAAAAAGGTGGCCAGGATGGCTCAGACATTACTCACCAAAAAGTCAAGTTTATGCGTTTAAAAACTGTTGTACAAGTGTGAGCTTCCATCGACAGACTTGTTATCAGGGGCGCCATGGTGGCAAGATATTAACTACGTCGCCTGGTATACAGGATAAGTTGGGATCGATCCTGGCCCTGACGCCTGCTGCATATTTGGAGTTTGCGCGTCTCTCTCGCCGTGGTCGCGTGCGTTTTTCTCGGGGGCCCTCCGGTTTTTCCCTCCACATTTAGAAACGACATCACGCGTTCATACGATGATAAGCCACTTCGTTGAGCTGTCATTTGCGAAAGCCAGGTCGCTTCTGAAAAAGAACTACGTTGCTCAGCGGGCCTTACCTGGTAAAATAAAAATAGTTTTAGTTTAGTTAGTTTAGACAGACTCAAACACGAATGTAAAAGCAAGCTCCACAACCAACCCTGCGCGTGTTATGTATGTTGAACTTCTTTAGCATCGTGCATAGCCGACCACGGTAATCGGAGGTGCGGGGCTCCACATGCACAGCAGGGCCCCACACACCCCCCACCACCACCACCCTCTCTGTGTGCGGTGCGTGACAACGGCACGCTCGCAATAGGTGCACGCACCTGGCACGTTCTGCCGACTGGAGTCGGCATCGCCCCCGTTGCTGCTCGATGACGACCCTGGGGAGTTGTTGTTCTCCACCCCGCCCAGAAGAGGGCCCAAGTGGTTGACCGATACCTGCTCAATGAACGAAGTGCCATACTTGCGAAAGTACCACCACTCAAATATCTGTGGGATAATGCCGGGGGGGGGGGGGGGTGGGGGAGTAAGAAAGTCAAAGACAATAGAACTCAGAATGTTGAGTTTGCTACTTTTGCTGGTGTATATATATGCGATATGTGTAGTTTATCTATGAGACCGTTGTTTTGCCAGCATCAAAATGATGAAAAATATAAGAATAGGTCTTATCCCTTTCTGGCAAGATGTTCAAACACCAAACACCTTTTGCAAGGCATCAAGTCTGCACTAGCCACACGGACTTGTGGCAAAACATGCAAACATTCTCTGATAATATAGGAGCTCAACCCCGTGTTATGAAATGCTCTGATACTTGCATTGTCTTTTCACTGTTCGTCTTTTGGCGTTCTCTGGTCTGACACTGGTCAGACAAGGCCATAAAAAGAAGGCTGTCTCTAGTGTAGGCCAATCAGTTTCGGAGACAATGCTTGTATTATTAGAGCGTGCTTGTTTGCATGTTTTGCCACAAGTACTGTGTGCGGTTAATGCAGACTTGATACCCTGCAAAAGGCATCCGTTTGGTGTTGGAATATCTTAACACCTGTTTTATTGCAAGAAAGGGTAAAGCAGCCTATTCTCACATCTTTACGCGTAGTATGTTTCATGCAGCACGTAGGTTAAATTAACATGTTATTACTAAAGACTTAGGCATGTTTACCCAGGAAATCCTCACCGAGTCTCAATACACTTTTTTCCGGAGAGAAGCGTGCGTGGACAGAGGAACACGTGCATCGCGGAACACGCTCAGTCTAACGGCGTCAAGGTGACCGACGAGAAAAGTAAGTGGGGGCTTGGCTGGTGCTCGAGACTCATAACAGTCAGAGCTAAAGGAGGAAAAACTTGGCCAAGAGGGCAAGAGCACAACGCTCAATCCCCCCGCCAAGTCTCTATCCACCCAGCAGTATGGCGCCACGGTGGCTATGAGATGTTAACTACCTCACCTGTGCATGCAGGAGGTTGTGGGTTCCATCCGACCCCTGACGATGCCCTGTAACATTGGAGTTTTGCATGCACACGCCGTGGTCGCGTGGATTTTTTTCCTGGTCCTCTGGTTTTTTCCCTCCACACATTAAAGTATTTGGCTGCTATAAAATTCCACGTGATGAGCAACTTCGCCGAGCTATCATTTGTGGTCCAGGTCACCCTCTGAAAAGACCTACATAGCTCAGTGGGCCTTACCTGGTATAATAAAATATATTTTTTCCCGTAAATTCAGATACCGTCTTGAGCCGATCGACTAGGTCACGCGGGGTGTACGTCGGCCGCATTCAAACACGTCTGGACATCGTGGAGGAGTAAGCTAAGTTCGATTTAGTGGAGGCCCTTTCACCGATCGTGGCGTGAGGCGAGCAATTCCAGGGCTGCACATTTCACCTTTACATGTCAGTGTACTCGTTGAGGTGCATGGGAGATGTGTGTTATGAGGGGGGGGGGGAGGAAGTTACTCACCAGGATGAGGCCTGATATTAACGAGGATGTGCCTGTCAGAGCCACGTAGAACTTGGGAGTCAGCGTATTGAGGAACATGGCCACTGCAGCACACACAGAAGTAAGAAGACACGTCAGAAAACACGGCCGCCACCATCGGCAAGCGCCACCACCGCCATAATCACAATTCATGATTCGTTGCTGACCAATAGTTTGCGCAAAGCAGAACAAACAACAGCCCAATGCCGAATATGGGTAGCATAAAACGACAGTAAAGTAGCCTGTCGAGAGCTTAGCTTGATGAAATTAAAGCGGTTGTATATCAATATCATTTATTATAATTGTTATATTATTTACCACAATAGGACGCCGCTACCGGCGGAATCACCTCCATTCCAGCGGACTCAAAGAGGGAATTTGGCCTACTCTTTCACACTGACTCGACGCGATGGAAGAGATGGGCGTGCCCACATTTTAACCCACCACACGTGACCTGCCGATTGACCAACTGCTGCGGTCGTACTTATTATACCGCTGGGTGGACAGAGGCGGGGGGTGAAGGGCGGGATTTGATATCTGCACCGTTGTTTCCAACTGCCATGCCTGGAGATGGAATCGAACCGGCAACCCTTTGGCTTGCGAGTGCAGCGCGCTCACCATTTACACCAGGGCAGCTTGAAGTTGGCAACAACAACAAAAATTCCAATTCCCCATCCTATCTCGACCCTAACCCTGCCCTTTGGTTGCCTATTCTGAGGTCACATGGAGAATACGTACAATGCATTCGAATGTCAGACTTGAAGTTGAGCACGCAGTGAATTCCCACAGGTGATACGTACAGAACCACAAACATTGCCACAATGGGACGAGTGGAGAGTTTTACAATGTTACGCATCGCAGTCATAACCAATAATTTGCTCCTTTCAAATTGCCACAAGTCCTCTTCCCCCCCCTAATGTGTGCGGATACTAATGACTTTATTGTATGTAGGGTGTGTAGGTATATATGCCTACACACCCTACAAATAGGGTGTGTTTACAATGCGGCTCCCCCCACCCCCCCCCGAACAAACTGGACAGACTGATGCCTGCGTGCAAGCTGGCACCTGAGTCACGTTATGCCGCACAGGGCCAGCCTGACGCTGGGGGTCCCCAATATAAAGTTTGAGACTACTGCGGCGATTCCGGCCAGCGCGGACCATCCCACACTTCCGTCATGAGTGAGCGGAACCCGGGTGATCCCTGGCGATTCACCACTGCCTCCGCTGTCATGTTGCATGTATGTACGATGTTGGAACTTCTTTCGCACCGTACGTAGCCAACCGTGATAATTTATAATCGGCGGTGCGGGGGAAGGACAACAACTAAACACAAAAAGCAGTTCTAAAGAAATACTTTCAAATCTAGATTTAAATGTGCATCGCTCTAGTGGCTTGCTAACATCGGAAGGAAGAGCGTTCCATACGGCCGCACCATTATTATCTCTCGCCCATTTATATCTCACATGTTCCATAATAAATTAAAGTCCTTTGACAGTTGAACACTTGGTATTATTATTCTTGGCTCTTTCGGTAAAGTCACGTAGAAGGGGAACAACAAAAAGGTTTTCACACCTGATGATGATTGCTTGTGTTGCAGTCGAAACGTCGTGAGAATTTTATTGTTTTATATTTTTATTATTATTTTATTGTTTCCCTTCTATGTGACTTTACTGAAAGAACCAAGAATATGAATCCCTGCAGTCACGAAAGCTTTAAATAAAAAAAAAACTTGGTATTGTTGTGTGTGTGTGTGTATGTTGAACTTATTTCGCACCGTACGTCGCCAACCTTGCTAACACTGGCCTACAGCCAAAATTCTTCCGAAAAAAATATAATCAGAGGTGCGGGGGAAGGGCAACAATCTAAACGCTAAAAGCAGTCTGAAGAAATGAGTTTTCAATCAAGATATTTTAAAAGTGCATAGCTCCAGTGACTTCCTAATATCGTAAATAAGAGCGTTCCAGACGGCCGCAGAAGCGCGATGCTGCGACTGCTTTGTTCTTTGCCACTTGCGCGTATTGCGGCTCTTGAAATTCCTTTGACCGAATTCAAAACAAATAATCTCTACTTGTTATTTCGGTTGCCGACCCCCTGGCCCATGAGAGAACCGGACACCGCCTGCCAGGTCAGAGGCGGCTGTGATCCGGGTTCCCACCGTGGCAACGAGGTGAACTCGTACGGAGCCCTCTAACTCAACTTTTTTTTTTTTTAACCAGGTAAGGCCCACTGAGCTATATAGCTCTTTTTCAGAAGCGACCTGGCCACAAAGGAAGTGGCTTATCAATTGGAAATTTATCGCAGCCAAATTCTATAAACTCACGATTCTGAATGTCCAGGGAAAAATCAGAGGACCTGGAGAAAATTCCACACAACGACAGGGGGAGAGGGAACAGGCAAACTCCAAATATACAACAGCAGGCATCAGGGTCGGGATCGAACCCACGACCTCCTGTATACCAGGCGAGGCAGTTAACATCTCGCCACCACGGCGCCCGGAGCAGCACCCGTGGTGGAAGCCACATGGCCCTGGTGGGATCAAAACGCCCCTAGCCCGGGCTAACGGCCTGCCGAGCAGAGTTCGGGCAAGCCGAGTGAGGAGCTGCCAGATAATCTCTTTATTTAGCAGCTTTGAATTTCCACGTGATAAGCCGCTTCGTTGAGCTATCATTTGTGACATCCAGGTCGCTTCGGAAAAAAATAACTAACAGCTCAGTGGGCTTTATAGGGTCAAAATAAAAATCGCTTAGTTTTATTTTTAGTGATTTGTTTACCTTTCCTAAAATATGCACTCCTATCGTTTTTTGTATTTTCGTTATTGTAACTTGCTGGGCAACCCCTAATGGACATCTGTGAAAAGGTGCATGAAAGCGCCATCAGATTTCTCCAAGATTAATAAAGATTATGATTTTCATGTTTCTACAAAGAGAGAAAGGAAGTCTAAGCATCATATCATCAAATCTTGGAGGATTATGCTTATTGTGAATATGCATGCGTCTCCGTGTCTTTCTTTGGTAGTGTAGCGGCTAAGGCGCTTCGCTACGAACCCGGAGGCCCGAGTTCAATTCCCGCTTTCGGCCAACACCAGTGACGATTATCTGAACCGGTCCTGGGCCTCCCCGGGGTAGTCTCAGCCTCAAATGAGTACCCGGTGCAATGTGTAAACATCGGCACTCGGCAGAAAAAGGCGGTCGGACGTGGGGCTTGGGCCACCCACCCCCTGGTGTGTCGTGCCGGCCTTCATATGTGCTCGCTAACAGCACTTGCCCAAACAGTCCGCTAAGGCTCCACGGCGGCGGTTCTTTCATCTTGTGTGTAAGGAAGATCGGTCCTGGAAGGAGCAGAGTTTGCTCCGACGCTGTGGCTAAGACATTATGGCCGATGCTCTCGATTCACAGCCACATGTTCACCGACGGCTGCCCCACGTGAGTATCACAATCACCGACAGCTTCAAACATTACCAGCACGCGCAGGAGACCAAAGCCTCCCTCATTCTGTATATGGGCCTGTCATAGGCTAATAGACTAATGGTCACCACAGTGACAAATGTAAAAGATCACGTTAAATTCGCCGCAGCAATGCATTGCACTTGTAAATGAAATGCTTCATCAATACAAACTCAATACAAGTAACCGGATTAAGCTGAAAACAATATAAATTGATGTACTGTACATTACACCAAATGGAAAGGTTACCGGTCATTGCCGAGTGTTACGAATTAGTAATTTTATAACACTAAATTAAAGGAATTTCCATAACCGAACAAATTTAAACTAAACATAAAATTATCTAATCATTATTAATTTCAAAGCTTATGTTTTTCAGTGTTACTTTTTAAAACTTTGTAAGCACCGGATTTCATAGTAATTTCCTTGCCTTTATATATTGCGTACTAGTCCACGGCGCGACTGTTTTAACCTTCATGAGCAAATGATTCATATATAAACTAACACAACAATTTGCTTTAACTCTCCATAACAAAGGTTTTATTGGGTTAGATCACGTAAATATAAATGCGTCTTTAACCCACCACCACCACCCGACACAGCCAAGTAGTAGGTAGTAAATGTTGGTAAATTAGTCAATGTTGTGGCTTTACTCTCCAACACACCGGTGTGCTGTACTGGTAAAGAATTGCCACGTTCTGTTTACGTGACAAATCTTACTAATTGGCTATGTCGGGTGGTGGGGGGGTTCAACGACACATTTATATATTTACGCCATCTAACCCAAGAACCTCTATTTTGCATATTGGTCGCGAAAGCCTACGTGTTAAACCAATTAGTAATGTTTGTCACTTAAACAAAACGTGCCAATTAGTTACTAGTTCGGCGCACCGGTGCGTTGGAGAGTAAACCCGCTGCAAAATGTACCATTTGAGCACTGTGACGTTTCGCCGGTGATCACGACAACGGGGCTTCATCAGGCGATCTGCCAGAATAGTGAAGCAGTCCTCCAGTTCCCGGTCTTAATTCCGGCGCGTACAAGGCAAGAGCTAAATGTGAGGCCAATGTGAATAAAGGCACAGTGAAACGAGTAGGCCAATAAACAGGCGGGCAGAAAAAACCATGCCGTATAATTCACTCCGATAGCCCCCATTAAAGCATGGATATTTATCCTCAACCTGCATTCACGGACGACGACAAGAGAGTTGATTCCGCATGCTCGGGTGGAGTCAATTAGAAATGTGGTGAGACATCTATTTATTGATGACATTGATTCTTGCACTCGTGATACGCGGGCATCCGCTTGTATCTGTGAGAAACACATTATTTTGATTGGTATGTTGAAATCAATTCACATGACCCCTGTGACTATCAGAAGCACGACATTCACTACACTGGTAAAAACAACATTCCCCCGGGCGGTTCTCAACGAGTGGGTCCCCTTGGCCCTTAAAGGAAGTCCACGGGGGTCATAAGTAAAGGAGGAAACGTTAAGTCCACGCCAACAGACCAGCAAAACTATCCCTCTCTCCCCTCCGTTAACTTCCACGCAAGTACGCGTGTACGGTGTACGGTATCTGTTCCTCTATAAACGTGGTGGAAGTTTACGCATTCCTGCACG